GGAAGACACAATGAAAGACACTTCATCTTTTAAAATAATGTTAAATTTGACATTTGAGTCTCAGAGCAAATAATGCAGATGTGTCATCCATAAATCTCCATCTCGCACTTCTCTGCTGTGGTAGTTGGGTATTATGTATGTTCAATACAGCACTGATGTGGGGGAAGGCATGGTACTGTTATTGATAATACTGATATATGACTTTGATTTCCCATACTCACACCCGTCTTAATAAGCAACTGCGACAATACCACAAAGATTACAAGCAGAAAGGTAAAGCAGCAACAGACCAAGGCTATATATAAACTTGAAAAGAGGTAGCACATTAAGACCTGCAGCAGCTAAATCTCAAGAAAAACTGGATTTAAGTGTCTAACTAACGAAGAAAGGAAAATATTTATCTCCATATTGCAACTGGCCATAAATGAAGATCACAGTTTATACAACAACTGTTTCTCCATTTCCATTCTCAAGCATCCTCTTTGCAAAACTGATATAGAAATAAAATGTCTGAAAGTCTTATCTGTTATATAGTTTGTAGTTTCAGCCTAGAACACTGGCACTCATTGAAGGGTAGACGTTCCACCTTGCCATTTAGTAAACTGCTTAGCAAAACACAGTGATGACATTTGTATAAACAAACTTAAATTTCACATTATCTCGTTCCTTTGAAGTGCTTTGACAGCACAAAGGAGCTCACTTTTGACTTCAGTTTGCCTGTCACATATTCCATAGGCAGTAGAAATAAAGTATTTTCTAGTTAATACAACTCTACTTACTCTCTCTCTCTTTTTTTTTTTTTTTTTGAGGAAGATAGTGCGAGTTGGGCTTTGAGATAGAAATCATTAGGTTGAAGCACTAAAAAGGATACCACATTTTATAAATTAAATTTTTAAAAAGATGTTTAAAAGTTAGCTTTTTTCCTCCCTAGGAACTGAAAAATTCTTCACATTCAGTTTTTACTAGATGCAGGACAGAAACTCAGAAGTATAAGATGTCCATTCCCAGATCTAGGAGGAAAATATTCCCCAGTTAATCACCAATAGTCTGATTTTGCTCAGCACTTTGAACTGCAAATGGAAGTAATCCAAATAAATTAATGGTGATAAAACTAATACATACTGTCGTCTCAGATCTGACAGTTTAGCTGTCAAAGCAGAGATTTCCCCCAAGGAACGAAGGATATCATCCCTTTCTTTAGGCTCCTCGCATAATTCTGCAACTTTCCTTGCTTCAGCCATAATTCCCCGAATATGTTCTTCTCCTTCGCTGCCCCCATTAGGATCTGCAAGCCAATTCTTAACAGAAAAAAGTTGTGTACAAGTGAAGATAAACAGTAATATTATTTCTATAGAGCCATTTAAACAAAAAGAAATACCAATGCAGCTTTCAAAACTTTATTTAACAGAAAATACTTTTCAAAAGCAATTTCTGTTTATTAGATACCATTAAGTTGTTCTACTGTCTGGCAGATTTTCTGTTTTTAAAAAGATGTCGAACTAGATGAAATCTACCCAAAGATTTTACATTCTCTCTCTCCCAAACATTTGCCAACAGTATTTTCAGAAGTAAAATTTAACCTGTGGCTTTAGAGACTCATGATCTGGCTTTCAGAAAAAAAAAAGTAAACAGATGCCCTTGTGCACAGTGTGGCACTCTTTACACAGCTATTCCTACAGAGTCTCATTATAATTTAATTCTATATACGTATAATATTAATGTATATTCATATATATATGTAAGTATATACACATCCACACATTTAGATAAGATATGTATAGAAGGTTCATTATTTGATGACCATCATCATCACTGGAGAATAGGCTGACCATCGAGGGAGATTAAGAATTACAAAAATGAAGGATCAACTTAAAAAAAAAAAAAAGTAGTTCCATTAACATGGTTTTGCTTTTGTCCTGAATATGAAGTTCTAAATCCTGAACTCCACTCTCATATAGAGCCAAATAAAAGGACTCTGGTTTTACCCACAGCTAAATCTGTGCGGTCTGAAACTCCTCTACTCTTTTCTTTAATAAGATCAGATTATGTCCAAACATAAGGTGTTGCCTCATTTTAATTTCATAACCTTGAAATTTTTATCAATGCTAAAAAAATTATGGAAAAAAAGTCATAAGCTGTAGCAAAACTCATGGCACCCTGTAAATTACTGAACTGAAGCTTTTTCTTTGTAAAAGCAAGCATCCTCTATACATTCTTCCTAACAAGTAACTGTGTTGTGTTTGGAAACAACTACAATAGTTCAGTATAACAGCTCTAACAGTAGTAATGTAATCATGTTCTGAAGTATCCATTAAATTATTAGAGGTACCTGAGCAGCATCAATCTTCTTAGCAATTGCCTGCTTCGAGTTTGTCATGGCCTCCAATTTGCGGGCTGCATTCTCCACCTTGGCAGTGAGCAAATCCAGACCTTGTGACACTTGCTGTGCTTTCTGCATAGCCATGGGTGTAGCACCCTGTCCTCTGCCCAAGACAAAAAGAGCATCACAGATCCAGCTCAGGATTGAACAAAGAAAGCTCTTTTCTCATGAAGAGGCAATAAAAATTGTTTATGAACATTCCCAGAAATTATTACAAGAGATACAGTACCTAATCCCCTTCCCCCCAGGAAAACAAAAATAACTGAGAAGGAACACCACAAGAAGAATTTAAAACTAAGAGCGTATCTTCCCCTTTCCAGAATTTGACATTTAGCATCCTCAGAAGAATGAACATTTAAGATTCACAAAACAAGGCTATTTGAGGATACAGTTCCATTGAAGTATTTAGGGCAAAGCCTGTTATCTCCTCATTTATAAATTGCTACAAGTCAGTCAGAACTCATAGGAGTTATGTGTCACCCTACCTGAGGACGGCACGTCTGTAAGTGAAAATAAGATGTCTTAGTTGCCTCAGTCATGCTGACAAAGTAGATGAAAGGTATGGGCTATTAGAAAGATTTCTTAACATGGTGAAAAGGATGCTAGCAATACAAATTTACAGGATGGTAGAAAACTTGCAGTGTCCCAATGCTTAGGAGTTAAAAATTGGATAGAAAGATTACTGCAAATACATATGCCCAAGAATGTTAGTTTTGTATAAGAAATCTCATACTTCATTCCAAAATAACCTGACTACTGGGAAGCTTTTTGAGCATGTTAACTTTATCAAACTAATTTTAAAAAGACCATAGTAAGTGGAAGGATGACAAGCACATTACTGAGATGCTAAGGTGTTTACAGTCAGGAGAGGGTCTCAAGATACCTTATTTCTCACAGGCTGAGTTCAAGTTACTTACGTACTAAACCAGTGTATAAATTAACTCATTTGTTAGTAAATCTTAGTCCTGTCTCTTCCTCCACCCCAAAAAAATTCACACAATACAAAGCTTACACCAGCCACTGCTCTACTGGGGTAAAAGTTTAGCCTAATTTCTAATGCTCTTTGCAAAAACTGGTACTAAGAAGCTCCTACATTCTCTCAGGTTCATCAGCTGGAAATCCAGGTGAAGATAAACTAAAACCACTTTCTCATCCACTACCACTATTATAGGTAATATAAACAACTTTAATTAAAATATAACCAGTATTTCTGAATTTTGTTCTTTTTAGCCTTTATATAGCAAAATTACAACTCCCCAAGGAAACAAGTTATAGAACTATTCCAAGCTCATGTGCATATCATTGCAACACTTCAGAGCCTGGCAGTCTATGGATTTAAAGTGATGGCAGGAAATTTGTTCTTAAGGTAAATCAAAACACAGTTCTCCAATTAATTTGCATTTGCTCACTTCCTGCACTTCACTAGGGCCTTAAGTCAGAAGAGACACTTATTTTACCTAAAATCTTCCCACCCCCCCGCCAAATAAAAAATTCCTAACGTTTATTGCTTTTTCTGACAATTCAAAATACACATTAACGTTTAGGAGAAAATATACCACAAAACCATTACTTGTATCCCCAACATCACAATGAACAGCTTTCTAGGGTTTCCAGGTGTGGTATTTTTCAGGGGTGGGGAGGAGTGTTACAACAAAATAAAGAAACCAATGTTACAGCACTCTAGCTTAATGATTTACTACATTGATAAGCAGCTGAAAAATTCATTCCTTATACTCAGAGGAAACTGGGTTATGGTGTTCAAACTACATGGAAAAGTTATTCTGTAGCTCATTGTCTTTATGCTTTCACAAAAAATAATTAAACTGACCAATTTCTAAGGAGGATACAGAAAACCAATAAAAGGCTCTGATTAAATAAAAACTCTATGCAAGAAATGCACATGTGACTGATAAACAATTTCAACGACTACTGCTTGTGGTCTAACATCCCAACAAACACCTAAAAATTAGAATATTCATGTATCTTACAGTCATTGGGTTATATCCTCTTTGGAGAAAAGACATAACAGTAGAATTGAAAATTTCACTTCTGCCTAATTTGGAGGAAGGTTGTGTGTTTGACATTAAACAAACTGAATTATTTACCTGAGCAATTTCGCTCATCATGTTATATTATTAAGATTTCACATATTTCCTACAGGTCAGGAGTGACACAACTGTAAGTTCAGAAAAGCTGGTTTAGTAGTATTAGAAAACTGTCCATTAAAAGTAATAGATTTACCTAGCTCGGAGGTCAGCCAGTTGATCAGTCATCTGGCCCAGCGTTTTGCACGTTCCCAGAATCTCTCTGCGTTCTTTGCCCGCACACAGTTCTCCTGCTTTTCCAGCTTCATCAAGGATCTGCCTTATTGCTTGCTCACCAGCATCCCCTAAAATGCAATCACAGTTAGTAAAACAAACAAGACATACCTTAACGTGTATAAGTAAACTGCTAGTCTCATTGTGCCCCACCACATTAACTGTATTATGTTCAGCTGTGAGAATAATTTATCAAAACCTATGGGATATACACCAAATGTCACAACTATAATGGGACAGTATATCTGAAGCAATATAGCATAACCTTAATGTGCACCATATGTCATGTATTTCAAGTCATTTAATCATTCTGTTATCATAGCTTAATTTCTATAAATACTTCACTTATGGAATCTGTAATTCAGGCTGAGAAGGGAAATTTTTTTTAGGTAAAGAGCAGCATGGCAAGATTCATGTAGCCTTAACTGCAGCCAGTTGCAAATCTGACTTGATTTTGGCTAAAGAAGATGCAAGAACAACATTCCTTTTATTTGCAACCCACCCTGATCCCATAAGTAACACACCCATTAAAATGTGATTTGCAGTAAGTTCTACAATTCCCTTTGCATTTGTCCTTAGCTACTCAATTTTTAATAGTTTATTTCATTAACTGTCAGCGTCAATGACAGAAAGCTTTGAAAATAACTTTGAAGTTTCTGGAACTGAGTGTGGCAAAGGGAATGAGGTCAGAAGTAGTATAAACAGCAGCTCCACAGATAACAACAATTCACTTTCAACTTTTACAATTGTATTATTTTGGCTTCAATTTCCAAGGAAGTCTTTCAGATAAGGTCTTTCAAAGTCCAAATGGAACAGGCCTCTATCCAGTTTTATTTGCTTTAAAGATGCATACAAAGCAAAACCTTTACATAAGTAAAGGTGACTGTAGTTATAGTATATACAGCAGATTTTCTTGTTAAAAAAATTTATGCCAAGACTAAAGAAAAACAAAGAGATTCTGGTAGGCAAATCCAGTTACATAAATTTGAAAATACAAAAGGAGGGATTTTAAGTATTAGCAACTACTGCAGTTAAATACTGTTCAATGCAATTTATGGGTTTTTGTTTTTACTAGTGGAATGCAAAGAAAACCCATGTATGTTATACAAAGCATATTAATTAGACAATTGAAAAGAAGCAAAGCTTTCCAGGTCATTAGACACAACTTGTTCAATCTACAGTATCTAAAGAAAGGAATAAATAGAGAAATTACTTAGAATTCTAATTAGAATTTAGAAATTCCTTTCTAAAGAAAGGAGTAAGTAATAAGGAATGATCCACTATGTATGGCTTATGAATGCTTAAAGGCAGTTTTCTCTTAAACAACAGAATTATTCAGATCTTTAAAAATCAAAACACTTTGTGCTGTTTTGTTGTTTGCATTTTTTTTTTTTAATATTACCTGGAGGTGCATTTGGATCTCTCAGCCAACCTTTTGCCTGATTCATCTTTGAATCTATTAAGGCTAAAGCTCTTTTCATGGCTTCAGTGTCCTTTACAAAAGAGAAACCATCAAAATGATTATCAAAAAAATCTAAACATAAATAGTCAACACAGCTAAAGCAGACAGAAGTTCTATAAAGCACAGTCTACTCAGAAAAACAAACCCCCATATAAGCAGCTCAAAACCCATTTTTAAATTAGCAGGTCATAATCACTTCTTTCCAATTAAGACAGGCATTCTCATTTCACTCAAAATGCAGAATATATGCATGCAATTTTAGTGATTTTTCTATTCCTTTATTTACAAGTGTTTTAACTTCTAAAGTCAGAGCTCTAATAAGCACACATCTTTAGAGTTAGTTCCATTTTTTCCCTTAACATACATCAGGCTACATAGAAAAGTTGTAACAATGAAATTAAACTTTCCAAAAATGGAAATTGGCCAGTGAATTGTACTACTTAGTTCAGTGTAAGAGGCTGCACATCTGCCTTTTTCACCTACTCTGCTGCTTAAAGACAAAGAGCTGCTCTTTGCAGAAAAACAGACTGCCAGCTAATTCCTGGAATTCTCAAATATGGAGTTTAATGTCTGAGGAGACAAACACATGTATTCACAGGTGGTTGTTTTAAACTCAGAACTCCTCTGCCAGAAGCATCAGAGAAGCTGCTTTTTCAACAATTATGCTGCTATTATCCAACACCTCTGACTAGAGGAGATAGAACCATTCAGTTCTCATTTCTCTGCATATTCTTAAGTGTCCATGTGCCATCTCTCCACTAGAGGCCAGAAGTTTTCTATCTTACGCAAACAGAAAGACAGTAACAAGTACCTTAAGTAGAAAGTTGGGGAAAAGCCAAAATAGCTTTTTACTACACATGTCATGGAAATAATTTGAAATGCATCTAACATCCCATGATTAGAATGCAGATGACGAAAAGAAGCCTGGCTCTCACATTATTAACTGAATTGGACTGTTCATGTCCAACTCCTATGAAAAGGAGCCTATTAGCACCAACAATCACTATCTGGTACAGCATGCGATATCCTGACAACACTAGAGAACTGCCTGATTTTTTGTGGAGTCATTCATTCTGCATGCTTAGTCTCACTGTAAACATTTTGGCTTTTTTATTCAGCATGTTGGTCTGTCAGCTATTCATGAGATGCTATAATATAATTCAGCAACCAATTTTCAAAAAGGTTGCACAACACTTGTGGATATTTTTAAGGGCTCTTGAATCACAGCCTGAGAGAGAGCAGCAAAAGCAGAATCATTTTCACCTGGATGACTGGTTCTCAAACCTAGAAATTGAGTCTCAGAACTTCGGTCAAGACTTGTTTGAAACAAATTCAAAAGGGTAGGATATGCAGCTCGGGCTGGGAGGGGGTACATTCTTTTAAAAGCCACCTTCTCTATAGCTTGAGAATTGTGCACTGAATATACAATAAGAGACAAGTAAATGATCACAGTTAAGTATTCAAATATATATATAAACCTTACTAGCTATGAAGGTAGGCGTTACAGTTTTCCATTGTTTTATAGATGGGCTGAAGACACCTTAGTTGGGAATCACTGGTCTGCTGCAGGCCTGTCTACCCAGAAATAATTTGAAACAAAGAACAAACTGAATTTTTAAAAAGGCAACAGATGTTGCGTAGTCTGTTGATGAGATGATAGGTGTGGGATGGCTGAGAAAAGGAGAGTTGGGAAAACTGTCTTTGCCCCTCCCTTTTTACTAACACAGGCTTTTGTGTTGTCTCAGCTGCCCGCAGTGTTGCAGTTTCAGCAAAATTACACAGAAGCCTCTGAATCGAAAGTCTTGTATCAGGGGACAAAATCCAGGGTATTTTAGCTTTTACACGCATTTTGTAATTGCTAGCACTACCCAAGCAATAACTGTCCTATCATAGGAAGGCTATATATATAACTGGATTGCTCTGCAGTGTAAATCTTGCTATCCTGTGTGGCTCCCCACTCCTGTCTGCAAAATACCGTCCCCTTTTCCTGTTTAATAGAAATCTGGTGAAATTCTAGTGTAGCAGCCAAAGTGTTCCAAGACAACTTAAAGCACAGATTTCCCATCTTTACAGCTCAAACTGCCACAGCAAGGAATCCCCCTCAGCTTTAGTTTTAGTTTGTTGGGACTGCAGTTGTGGTTCCGCCACAGCTGTGTCTGGTGTCAGATACTTAGCAAGTGACAAAGATGTAGCAATCCTGAAATGTCTGGACTTATTCACCAATTCAGGCTATAAAGCAGGAAGACAAAAGTAGAAATACTCAATTTAAGCAAAACAAAGCAACTTGCTCAAGGCCTTACTGCTTGAAAGTGCCTTGATATTCCTGATTTCTGGACCTGTTTAAATGCCTTGCTCCTTCCTAAACAGCCAAATATGTTTAAAATTTACCCTTTATTTGCCAGCAGAAAATCAGTTGCAAGCAAGAAAATAAAAAAAATCCTACAGCTATCCTGCAAAAAAAGTTTCATATAGAATAGCTTTATCAGCAAAAAAAGATTCTTTCTCTTCTCTCCCCATAGTTCTCCAGATGGCAAAAGGAATTTAATTAACAAAAGCAGCACTATTACCTTTTCAAAAGAGACACAAGTTACTCAAGTTAACCAACTCGGGCATCATGGTCTGAAGGGAAAAGAGCAAGCTGGCTGATTTGCAAATCAGTTCCCAAAGCAAATGAGCACTTATCCAAGATACCTTTATTCATCGCTTCTGCCAATAGCAAGAATTTTGAGATTATTCATGGACCAGGTGGTATTGGCACTGCTTTGAAAGGGAGCAAAATAAATCCTACACAATCCCTTGTTGAATATCAAACACAACCTCTGACTCAATAAAGTGGTCCAGTCTAGTGATATCTACATTTCATTACCAAAGAAGGCAATGTTGAAGGAAATGGGCTAAGCCAGCCTTCTGGCAGAACAGATAGCTTAGTCACCATCCAGGGTTCTGTCCTGCAGGATACTAGCTGCTTCTCAATCTCCCACAACTTTTAACTCCCTGCATTTATATGGAAATGGCAGATGTTTGAATGGAGTAATACTTCAAGTTTATTTAAAAAAACCCCACTAAGAATATACGGGAGAAAGCTAAACTCCTCTGTAAAATGAAAAGTTCAAGGAAAAAACATACAAAGCTACAAATGGAAGAAATAAATACAGAATTTTTTTTTCACTATTTTGCCAGAGATCAGTATTTGCTCAGTATTTAAATTCTAAATCAGCATACTATTTTAAAAAAATCCAGTGTTGGTTCAAGTAGAGCTTATTGCAATCCAGTAACAGTAATGTGCATTTCAGAGTCTAGAAAGATCAATGAAAGAGTTAACAAAAAAGCCTTCAACTCTGGCTCCATACACTTGTTCATTCTCCACTATCTCTGGGTAGATTTTGTGATACTTCAATGTATAAACAATTCAAGATAGAATAATAAACATAAAATAAACCCCAACATCAACAGCATGTAGTACACACAAAAAAATTTCAAGGCTGTGCATCCTCAAACACATCTTAGTTTGCTCCAGAAAAGCACAGGGAAAATATTTTTCTTTTAAGTACCAGGCACAAAATACATGCAATAGTAATCTCAAATAGAATTAAAGAGGTTCTCCATCTCCTGCCCAGAAAAACAGTAAGTCAACAGTTAGACACATATGCAAATACAGGAAAAGGTCTGTAATAGGTGGCCATTAGCAAACTAGTTCCTGTTTCCTCATCCCACTGCATTTTTCAACTCAAATTCTTTGTCATAATAATGCCCCGTGCTACAGTTCCAAATTGTCAGCGTACCTTAACTCAAAAATAAATACAGCTAAGTTGTTCTCAACTCAGAACAGAATGATACTTTGATTATGCTAGTCCACACAACATATTTATGCATTATGCATAATAACCAGTATTTTACATTTGGAAATACTGCTAATACACCAACTGTTTTCTTAATAAAATCCTTTACTAATCTGCCTCACTAGCAAGAGTAGGAAGAATTTTCTAAGGCTAAATTACCAACTTTTTGCAACAGTCATTTTTTTACCACAAAAAATTCCAAATTTGTTGTGTAAAATAAAACTGTAATTGTATTTTGTGAAATACGGGAATGTTTAAATCCAAAAATAAAATGAACTGAAAAAATACACATACAAAACTGAAGTTTTAGGCCTAGACCTGAAGAATGTGAATAATTTGAACTGAAGGAAAGCTGATGGTGAAAAACTATGGAATGGACAAAATTTCTGATTTAGTAAAGCTTTCTGGGCATGCAGAAAGCTTGTTCCTGCATGACTGGACCCTTTATTTGTAGCTACAGAGACTAGTAACATAAATTAACACAAAAGCATTCAGCAAGAATGTGCTCTAAAATCCTGGGCGAACCCTAATCAGGCTCAGAAAGACAGTCTTAATGCAGTTCAGCTTGCGATTACCATTCTCTTAGTGACAGCCAATTCTACATATAGCTGGGCAGAGCTATTAAGATCCTTTTAAAACTTCTGTGTGTGTATATATAAGTATGGTGTCACAGCTGGCACACAAATAAGAAGTTGCACAGCACACAGTCTGCACACAGCACAAAATCCCACATACATGCTTTTTTGGTTTTAGTACAAGGTAGAGGTGTAGGGTGTGGAAGAAAGCTTACCTTCTAAAGGTGAGAAAGGGTAAGAAATAGGAGAACAAAAACAAAGATGCATAAAGTAGTCACAATAAGGAAGTGATGGTGACAAAATAACTCAAAAGGCAAACTAAGGATCAAGTGCCAAACAATATAGGCCAAAGTGATTTTAATACCTAGATTATGTCAATGTTAGAGTTTCTGCAAGATTTCATTTGTTAATAAGTCTGGCTTCAGGTCTCAATATTTTCTTTAAATACGTTTACAATTACCTGTTGCCCACAGCACTAACCCTTAAAAAAATCCTTTCAGCAATTTACTTCAAGGTACTTACAAAAAATGGCAGGAATTTCAGTTATGCAGCTACATTTATTTGTAAGCCCACAACAACATTTTTACGATTCTGTCTGTGAGACCTACTTTATGGTCTGCTAGACGTTTCAGCATCTTCAGTGAGTATCACTTAAGAGCACTACTTAACCCCAGGTAAGTGGTTGCAGTCACTTATACAACTTAACACTGAGTTGTAAAGAACCAGTACTGTCCATATGCCAGCTTCACAGACATCATACTTATCCAGAAAGGCTATTCAGTCTAACATATATTTCTTTGAGACAAGGCAAACATTTGAAATTTACTCCCATGTCCAGACTAAAAATGGGGCAGGGGGAAAAGGAGGAGGTGTTCAAGGAGGGATCCCCAAAAACTGACTAAAATTTCTCAACTTCAGGCCTTTTGCCCAAGGAATATGACAGCAGCCTATCTTTTCTAGTAGCATCTAGGAGAAAAATCTCAGGTAATCTAACTTATGAATGCCTAGCTACAGTTTAATGTATAGAACAGTAACTTCTATACCTAACTTTCCTCTGCCAAATATTTTTATGTAAGGTAGTTATACATAGGAAAAAAATCCTTCTCTGAGAGGAATACACTGTATTCCAGGATTTCCTAATCATGCCAAAACTAAATAAGAGAACAAATCTAAGTCTTCTGTTTGACCATTCAGTTGCAGCAAACCACTGAGCCACCTTCAAATGCCACACTCCTTTAACTTAGCTTACTGAAAGCTAGTTTTGAAAGATACATGAATACAATAAGCTCTGAAGATGTTCTTCAACCCTGAAGAGATTATACAATGTGATTATAAAGTGTTACAAACTGATGTAAAAAACCCCATCTTTCAGCAGTCTCAAACCCACAACTTTATAAGCGTGTAACACAGTTGACAAAAATTAGATTTCTCTGTACACACGTAGGTGTGAAACATACCTTGCTTGCCCAGGCATCTTCATCCCAGGAAGTGAGTTGTAATACACGGATTATTTCATTTATCTCAGCACTCATTTTCTCTACTGTGAAATTGCGATTTTTCAAGGCCTCTTCTATTCCCTGGCTTTTAGAATTTTTTGTGGTTACAAAAATCTTCATAGCTGTGAAAATACCATAGATTACAAAAAGGTATATGGCAAGATACAATCAATGCTCAAGGTGACCTCCTACTGCATTTATACAGAGGTAGTACATTTTCTTTTGCACGGCCCATTTTATCTGAGAGAGATTGTAGTTTTAATACAAGAAGCACAGTTATTTGCAATGCATACAGAAGCAATGTCAAGGCTGTTATTTTTAATAAACATAAGACATTGGAACTCCAGTTCAAAACAGACAGCAATTCAGAGTGATTATTAAAAATCAAAGCCAAAAATACCTGAAATAAGTACTGGCAATAGCTCCTTCACAGTATTCATGGAGTTTACCAGCATAACCCTATGTTCCTGATGAGTTAATTCCTGTTGTCTCTCATCAATCATTTTAGCCATCTTCGTCATTCCTACAGATTAAAGTAATTGAACATAGGTTTAAATAAAGAAATGTAATATTAAGTCTAATTTGCAACGGTTGAGCTTTCTAAACAAGAACAAAGTGTAATGAGTTATGACAACTCTATTGAAGTTTAAAACTTATTTATTATATTAGCAGCTGTTACTTAAAACACATTCCAGATGCTTCAGAGAAGTAACAGATTCAAAACCTAGCTGCTCTGCAAAGTAGAATGGACTTCTCAAAATTCTTGATTTAAAATCCCAGCAATAAAATAAGAAAATATCTGAAATGACTGCTTCAGGACATGAAGTCACTTCATGAACTCTGGAAGCTAATTTACAGGGTTTTTTTTCCTCTGCTGTTAAGACTTGATCAAAGCCTTAAGTATGAATGGCAGAAAAGGAACCACCAGGGTTTTGTCTGTTTGTTTGCCTTAAGGTTCCACCAGAGTTCAAGAATTTTATCTATTTATACTTCAGTTCTGCTAGAAATATTTCAGTGCTCTAGAATTGTGGAAAGAATTAAATTTATTCTAGAGCAAATTATTTTCAACAGCTTAGACTTATGAGGTTTACCACACAGCACATGTGTAAACTTCAGACACAGCTCCATAAAAACTTAAGCTGATTTAAATTGGTGCTGTTGTGGTCCTACTCTCTCTCCTCTAGGGGACAAAACTGGAAGAGAGCTGTATACTCTGACTGAATTACTCTTCTGCTGGTTAGCATCTTAGGCATCCTAATATAACAAAAAGGTTAAATAAACTTTAATTACAACACTGAAAAGTAGTAGAATCCCCACACTGACAGCACAGAGGAGTAAACTGGGCAGAACCACCTTTCTTTTCAAATGACAAAAGCCTAAATAGGTAATCTCATTCTCCTCTCTACTTCCAACATAAAGCCTATAAGCACTTTCTTGATTTTAAGTGTATATCTTCATATTCCTATTACTTATACAGTGCTCACATTAACAGTTGAGTTCAGATGCCCACTGATACAGCTGAGGGGAACAAGGACTACAGGCGTAAAAAGCTTGGTGGGCATGGGCTTTAAGCGTTGAGTAGCATTTAGCCCAGGCAAAAACAGTGCTTGTAGAACGTGTCAGAAGCACAAGATTAGCTATTTATTCAGAACAGTGTGAGTTTAGAGAAGATTATTTGCAATAAAGGTACAAGTCTACATCTCACTCTAAGAAGTTAAGATACTTGCCCAACACTTATTACCTCTATCATACACACTTAACAGCAAATTATGTCTGTGAGGCTCACTGGAAAGTCACAAATGCTTGTGACTGAGACAAATAGAGTAAACTGAAGTTTGGGGAAACTTCCATTTTAAAGACATGGAAGACAATGACCACAGAGAAACTGAAATTGTATATACCCAGTCAAAGAACAAGTTTCATGGAAAGAGAAGATTGCCCTTTTTGCTTCATCTTTTCCTGTTCAAAATGAGGCAAAATCTATTCAGTTGAAGGTAACTTCTCATGGGACATAAAAAAAAAAGTTTACAGAACACTCTACCTTCATATGGTACTTAAGTTTTTCACATCTAGAAACAGGGTAAAGTACACACACGTCAAACAAAAACCAGGATAATCAACAAACATGCCCTGTGACATGAGAGCCGCCTAGTCATCTAATTTATGAGCTAGTTATTTTTATATTATATATGTATTCTTATTTATATATATAAAATACTAACTAGATCCCTGCTCTATTTATATAAACATTCTTTAAGTTCAGTGTAACTTTAATTCCAACATCTTCCTACGTTACCTCCAAAACACCTACATTTTATAGCATGCTTTTGTTAAAAATACCTAAACTACTTTATGCATGCTGAAACTAGAACATTTGGAGTAGATGACAGAGATTAGCATTAGGTTTCCTGTATAGGAACCCAGTGCTTCACTTGACAATCACTTACTTCCACCAGTGAAAGTGTGAGTTAACACAGTGAAGCATCAAATAATGAACAAAAAGAATTTCTGTAACAGCTGGGCTTTTGTATTATACTGCAAGACAGTTATTTCTGCAACCTCATTAAGATGCTAACACATGACATGCAGCTCATACTACTCCAAGAAATTCCTACTAGGCCTAACCATGTCAGCACAGACATTTTATTAGCTTAATGGACTTTATAGCTGTGACTGCTTAATTACACAGCTTTTTCAGTTTTTTTGTTGTACTCTCACTAATGCATGTTTACTTCTCTCACAGTGTAGGGATTGGGAAAGTATAGTACATACCATCTGTGTAGTGCATTTCATTTACCAACATGCTGACTCTTCTGCATTATTAAGAGAGAATATGAATCACAAAATAGCCATCATTCACCCTCTAGTTTAAAATTCTTTCCAACAGACACTGTTAAAGTAACTGCTTTATCATTGTCTAAACACTCAAAACTTGGGTGAGGAAGGTGCTGGGGGGAAAAAGAGGTAGTGGAAAAGACTATACTTAGTATGTTTATGATAGGCTGTAGTGAATCAAACCTGGCCCTAGATTCTTTGTGTATGTCACCAAATCCTCCATAGTCTCTACTACTTCCGCCACAGTCAGATATTCCAATATTCCTTTGCAGACACGGATGATTTTACGGACCTAAAAAAGGAACATTCCATCGTTTATTAGATGAAGCTAGGTTACACCTGAATCAGAAATGCAAGCCTATTATTAGAACAAAAGAGGTACAGCATTTGCTAACATGACATATGGGCAATCACAAAGGTCTGGGATACTAATTAAGTTACCCACAATGCTATTACTCAGGAGTGCTGTATTGACAAAGACAATATTTAATCAGCATTCCACCACTCAAGTGCAAAATCTTACTTACAGTGTTTTAACTTCATATGATAAATGAAGGAGAGTATTGAGAAAATAGATTATAAGGAAGTGCACTTAAGTATTCTGGCATGCTTGAAGTTTTTCATTGCAACTTAAATCACAAAGCAAAACTACCTAGAAAGCAGACTCCAAGCTTTCAGAGGAAATATTATTCACCATACAGATTTACATATGGATAAAACATTATCCAGCATTCCAGTGGGAAAGGTAAATCCAACATCTTACGATTTCCAGAAAAATTTGTAAAGACTGCACTTTATTTACCTCTGGATATCTGCCTCAGCTTAACTTTTTCAGTTCATACTTGATTCTTTGTCAGTTAATCTTCTAACCTCCTGAGCCATATTATTTCTGACAACACTGCATACAATTCTCATTGAAGAATGAGTTAATTAACACTTAATTAATATCAACCACATGCAGTGTTCAGTCCCTAGAATAGATCATAGTTTCCTCTAAAACTCATTTCAGTTTTGTCCCAATGTTAGTTTATCTTGAAATATAGTAGGACAGAGACATGCCAACTTTTTGTGAAAAGTCAATCATTCCAAACTAATACTTTTCTTTTGGTTAACATGCAGCTGTCAGACTAGTTCAATGAAACATTAACTCCACAGAAGTCAACTCATTTCCTAAACACTGGAAGCAGGGAGATTAAAAGCTATTAACTTCCTTGAAATTCTGTTCTATAACACTTCGTAGTATCTATTAAAAACCAATTAAAATAATGAGTAATAACGAGTGTCACAGAAAAACCCCATAGCATTCTCCTCATTTCAGAGGAATGTGTGAACAGTACCATGAGCTGATTAAGTAAGACACAAGGATGCCATGTTAGACTACTCAGAAAAGCAGGAAGACTAACATAATTTCACAAATTAACAGATTGTTGCACAGGTAAAATTTAGAATTAACATCAGCATTTCTAACAGAGAGAGCTTCATTTCCTCACAATAGCATGATATAAGCTATTCAGAAATGAGTAAGACTCCACATTCCCAGAAAGAGGATCACAGGAGTAAGTAAGATTTGTAACAAAGAATCATTTTCAAATATAAGACACTCAAAACCTCATTTTTAAGTTTCCTTGCAACTGGCTTTTTTGTCCATCTGAAGATGGAAAAACAGCACCTCTGAGCCACTTCTTGGCTTGTGCAGCAGCCAAAACATAGCAATAGCAACAGCTACATCTATCAGAACACATCTTCTGGCTGACCAGCCAGACAGTCCACATTTGTTTTACCTTCTGTGCCCCAAGGTCAATTAAATTGCCACAGCTAATGGGTCAGACAGACATGTTAGGAAGTAGCCTTTTCAGTGAAGGGATACAGAGAATATAAGGATCAGTAATGGGTATGGTGAAGGGAATACAGAAAAGCATCAGGAAGATGAAAGACAGGGTTGATGGAATGTGGCCTTTTTGAGGAATAATCACAGGCAACGCCTAAACATTATGTCATACAGAGATGCTCTTAACAAAACAGAGCAAAAAGCCTAAGCTGCTTCTGACAGAAAGGAATGCAAAATACACTTCCAATCAAGCTAAAACAATCAAAACCACGCTCATCTACTCAATAGTTTAGATTAGATAATTCGGTTAGGTGGATACTGAATTAATAATACTATTGTGCAGATACCTATGTCAGTCACGTTGAGATTCCTACCTCTGCTTCATCAAATGTCAGAAGTAAGTCTGACGTTCCAGAAAGGATGCCTCTGGATCCATCAATTAGATAGTCACGGGCTGGTACTGAATAAGGATCTGCTTGCAGCATCTGGGCTGCCCGAACAAGTTTGGTGCAGGCATTCTCCACTCTGTGGAAAGTCATCAGACAAAACTTGCTGATTAGTGTATGCCTACATGACAACAGACTTGAGAAAACGCTGCATTTGTTTTTAACTTTACTACTTAAAGCACTGCAAGCAAAATTACCATTCTACACCTTTATAGTTTAAAAAGCAAGAGCATTTATTGTATTTATTTTAACAAGAAAGTAACCAGCAACTGTCTGACACAGTTTTTCAGAAGTCACTTACTCTTTCAATACAGGGAATATTTTAAGTATCCCATGTACAACAGTCAATACAGTAACATTAAAGAGAGGTCCAAACATGGCAAAACACCTTTCATTCTTAATGATGAGGGCAGAGGACAAAACAATTATTCCTTTTGGTTTTCACAATCAAAGTAATTTCTGACATTTATCAGCCTTGTATTTGTATTGTCATTCAAGAAGGGATTGCTATTAATAAATATTAAATTATAGCTACACATTAAAAAAAAAGAACATAGTATTAAGAAAACCAAGACACTGTGCCTTGCTTGTTGAAGCTGCAGTCCAGCTCTTCAGAGTGTTAACACTCATGACAGAAATAGCATTTTAAAATAGCCACGAGGTTTAATGATAAGGAATGAATTTCAAATGCAACTTGCAATTCTAGACTTAAAAACAGAAAGGTTTTGCAAGATATTACAGTATGTAATTACAGTAACACAGAAGGTACTACAATAAGCAAATGAGCTCTGAAATTAGGTTCCATCATCCCATTTAACACAACAATTTTAAAATAGCAAGAAGTGGAACATTTAAAAGCTTTCATTTTTGTTCTTGTCATTACTTCATGACAGCTTAGAGAAATACAACATTCAGACTTCACTTCCTTGTAGCTATGCTACTCACTACTGTAGTTATTGACTACACTGACTATGACTTTCCTTCATTCCCTCTCATTTCTGTGACAGAAATATAAGTGTAGTCTAATACATAGGCTCCATGCATGTGAGTGTCATGTGCTAATTCAAGTTACACACGGTTCCAACAAACATTAAACCCTTTTATTACAGCAATACTATCTCTTATCCCAACTTTTTCTTGCTTGTCATACAGCCCATTTTCTCTGGACCACTCAGACACACTCTTTTATAATACTTCCAGTTAAGTACTACTGGAAAGTTACACAATTATCCCATTTTTTTGCCTACACTCCTTGTTAACACAAATGGCAGAACTTATTGGTTACATCTAAACTTAACTATACTAGAAATAAGACCCTCATTACAGGAAAACATACTTTTTTCAGAAAGTAAAGTTTTCACCTAATGGCTCTCTAGAGTAGATCGAATTGGAACAGCTGACCTTATAATAACCTGCTCTTTAGTGAGACATCTGCTCAGCACATCAGATGGTGGTAATTCATAACTGAGTAAGAAAACACAGGAGGACTTCAAGGCAGAGAGTGGGAATGGTTTGCTCATTACTATGCAATGTACTTATTTGCATTATCAAAGTCAACTGACTTCACTAAATTAGATTTCCACACTTGCTTCTCAAGTTTATTCTTTTCAAGTCTGCCAAGAAAGGAATTAAACAAATTACCTATTCAGCCAGCTCAGAGCTATAGGCTCAGAAATACTTAATTTCCTACAGATCAATTTCATGGTCATCTGTTTAATACTAATAATTATCTTAAGTCTGTCATTTTCATTTGTAAAGAAAGGAATTAACATAAATGTGTATTACCCCAGAAGTCACCATAATTAATAAAAATAAAGTTTATAAAGATTCTAAGTTTTCTTCTACAGTTGTTAGAGTCAAACCTCCAAAAGGTAAACTTGCATTTTACTTGTACAATATCTACTTTATAGAAACTTCCTAATGCATTTGAAATACTTCAGGAGTGTGCCCTCTGTATAAAAAAGAAGAGTGTTGCTTAAAAACCAGACACCCTCCATCCCCTGCAAAGCATACATGCTAGGAAACAAAAGATTAGAATTTGTGGAAAAAAGTAATCAAATTACTTTCATTTAAGAGAAAAAAAACACATCAAACCAAGCAACATTAAAGATATTCACTTGAATAAACTGCATGTTCTGTCACAAGAATCAAACACATTCAAAAGTTTTGAACAGAAGCTCATTGCTATGGTGAATTTTCTAATCCCTGTATCATAACACAACCTGAAAAAAACCCATCTTTATAAAAAATGTATATTTATTTTTGAGGCATGATTACAACAAAGCTATGTTAACATCAGCCAAATTCTCTGTGGAGAAGACACAAGTCATTATATTTCCAACCATACTACTTTTGGTAAGCAATCAGCTCCATTCCCGTTAGTGTGTTCCTTATGAAATGCGAGGGAAAAAACTTCGCTTATGCTAAACTAGCATTTTAGTTTTTAGGATTGACTCCTGCTTTTCCCAGAGATGCCTGCCCAAAAATGCTAGACGACGTCTTTGATGTTTGAAGAATGCTTGTCTTCATTTCTAATAATTTATGTTTTAATGAGTTTACTCACTACAGTCTAGATTCCTTGCAGTTCCAGAAATATAAATTAAAAAGCAAATATTTTACATGAACATTAATTTGTTAATACAGTTACCAGCAATGCAGCTCAAGCTTGACTACCAAAATAAAGTTAATATAGAATAGCACTACTGCTTGATTTGCTAAATGAGTTTGCACGTGCCAGTCAGATGTATACAAATTTTTATCCTCAGTGTAAACAAATCAGGTGTTACCCTATTCTTTGCCTAGAGACTACAGCTTTTTCTTCTTCTACAAGAGAATTATAACAAGTAATATGAACACATTGCAAAACATCTGATGTAAATTATATGCATTACTCATAGTCCCTGCTGAGTAAGACAATTTAGATAAAGAACACGGCATTTTTTAACGCTAGGTCAATAGTTCCAATGTGGTTTATGTCAAAAGCAAGCAGAGGGATGCATGATAGCTTCTCAGCAAATTATTCTGCTGCACAATCATACTCCTACTGAAAAACTTCACAAATTACCATCATATATATTGATTACCAACCCCCAATGCCAGTCTCTGGCAAGCCCAAACCCAAATCTTTGAAAGTAACAAACAGATCATCTCCCTCATCCTCCAAGAGCAGTTCCTTCAAGACTGGTCATTCTTACGAATGAAGAAAATACAGCCAGGGCATGCGGTGCTAGTGCATGTGCACCGCTCCTTACCCCAGCATCCCCCTGCCAGTACAAGTTCTGCTGGAGCCCGCCCTTAAAAGAGAAATGCCAAATCCTGAACTAACACTTTAGAAACAAAAATCCCTCCTCCCAGTAGAGAGAAAAAAACAAAACAAACCAACCCTCATCTGTTTCACTTCCTGCATTCAAATCCTGTCCTTTAATGCAGGAAAAGGTAACACCCCCTTGGCAGCTCACCTGACTGTCACTTGTCCCTACAACACAGGTACCAGTGACAATACAATCCATAGGGCTATCAAGGAACTCTTAACATGCACTAGTTCATTTTGATATAAACTCCAGAATAACAAAAAAAAACCCCAACAAATGCAATAGATTATAATTCATAAAGGCCACTGAACATTCCTAACTCATGTTACTGCATCTAGGATAGTACGTACTATGTGGAGTAGGTTTCATTACTGTGACAGATAGCTTGTTTCCCATTTTTCATTATATCATAATTCAAGCAAGTCATGAATTGCTGCAGAAAAATTGTTGCACTCAGCATAAAGTGGTACTATTCATCAGTGGTGGTAACATATTTCTACAGTAATCTAGCTATTTAAGTCTCCACAATCTGCTAAGTGTTGATCAAAGGCTGGTTACAATAGAGCAATTAAGAAAATCTCTTTTCCTTAATCCCTTACTTGACTAGGTGAAGGAGAAGCTGGAAATCAACTTAAAACTCTACACATCCTAGAAAATGAGCACGTGTTTGTATATAACTCATTAAGAAGCAAGAAAAAAGTTTTCGTCTCATTTCAACACATAAACACTCCCTCAAAAAAAGAAAAAAAAAAAATCAAACCCCTCTACACCCAAACAAGGTCACACACCAGGAACACAGCATAATAAACACTGTAGTGGATTTTATCAAAGGCCCATTCAGCTCAGTATCCTGTCTCCAAAAGTAGCTGCAAGTAGATGCCTATGGAAGGTTAAGAACAGGAGAAACATTTATCATACTTCCTCTGGGCACTCTCCCATCCTTCAACTGTTTTCAGTTCTCAGGATCCAACCCAAACCATTCTATGAGTCTGTGATTCAAAGAATTTCAACAGTACATGACTTGCTGTACAAAGAAGCTCTCCCTATTGTTGGTTTATAAACTACTAGCTTAAAGCAATGTCCCCACCAAGTTCTTGCACAGGAAGAGATGTACAAGTTTCCATTTTCTCCATGCAACTCATACTTCCTCAGACCTTTGTCAGGGCCTCAATTCCCTCTGTCACTTTTACCAGGCTGAGGAGTTCCAGCCTACTTAGCTTTGCCTTATACAGAAGCAATTCTGTATCTTTGTTCTTTAAGTCCTCCTATGAGCTTTTTCCAGTTCTACTGCAGCCTTTCTAAAATTTAGGGACAAGTGCACACAATATTCAAGGTGTGTGAGAAAAATATACAGTGACATTTTGGTGTCTCATGCTTTCCTGATAAACCTAATATTCAGTTTACTTTCTGACCACATCAAATGGATACTCTCATCAATGTATCACAGCTTCAAGACCTTGCTCACTATTGATAATGGTCAGTTCAGAGTCAATCTTCCTCTCTGACACTAGACCTGCTGGTCTCCCACCTGTGCGTTGCTTGAGATCTTTCAAAATAATTTCACTTAATATCAAGTTATTCAGTTTAATAAGGTCCTGCTGTGATTTCCCAGAGTCATCCATTAATCTCACTACCCTATGTAAGCCTCACAGCTCATTCCTGGTTTCCAGGACATTTGTGAACATGGTGAAAAGCAGAATCCCAGCAGAGATTTCTACAGCCCTGCTGATTACCTCCTACTATTGTCAGGGATAACCAGGTAATTTTTCCTTTCACTTTCAGTTTTCTCTTTTCCATAGAACAACTTTTCTTATTACCCTGTGGCTACTTCATTTTCTTAAAAACCTTCAGACTTTGCTGAAAAGTTTAGAAATATGTTTATATTGTATCCCCTGGATTACCCTTATCCCCATTTGTGATATTTCTAACACCACCAACAGATTTGTAAAGCAGAATTTCCCTCCAGAGGAACAGCCAATTCATCCAAAGCAAATAATATGTATTTGTTGGGATCTGTTAATTCTCTTCTCTAGTATAGAATTTCTAGTCATTTGCTAAAAAGGTATGTCAGACCTATAGAGCTCCTGTTGTCCAGATTCCCCTAGAAAGTTTCTCAGGCAGTAGTATCACCTTGACTGACATACTGGTGGTCTCAAGCGAGAGACTGTACTTCACTAATAATTTAACTATTTCATTCTTGAAATCTTACGCTAATACAAGTTGGTCCCAGGCATTTTTTAAATAATTCATTTTGTCAACCTACAATGCAACAATCTAAATACTTTTTCACTGCCTAACAATTTTTTCCCTTAGACATCATCCCTGTTCTCCATTTTAGTATTTTCTTAGTTGCCTCAATGCTTTCTTGTTTTGCCTATCTGCCTGTTTTGTGTTTGGGAATACAGTAAAATATTCAGTTATTCTGTACATTTCAGACAACACCAATAGAGAGGTCACTACATTCAGTAGGCTGTAGGGCAAAGTCATGTAAGAGAAAGTTTGTCAGTTGGCAGGAAGAAGCTTGGCAATTCCACAATAAAAAGTGATGCATGATTTTTAGGCAGCAGAAGGAGAAAGTCAGTTGTCCTTGACACCAAGACATGAAATTAAAGAGTGTCAGTCACTGCTCTTCAAATGTCTTTGATTTCCAGGCAGCTACATCATGCATCAGCTGCCTGTACTGAGAAATTCACACTTTTCCACCAACCAAATTAATAGAAAACATTGAGAACATCACATTATTTCTGACAGTTAGGCAAAACTACAACAGCACATAGGTAAGTACCATTGTTACGTTTTGGTGTTTTTTTAATTTTATTTTTCAAATAAGAAATACCCTAGATATGTACCTGTATATACAGAATGTAACAGGAAAAAGTCACTGCTGGCAGAAATGTCATTCCTGACAAAGGTCAGCCTCAAGACACCAAAGAGCTATTAAAACATGACAGTATTTTCTAATCTGTACAGCAGAAATTAATAACAATGATCTATCATTGGAACAGGTTTCCTGGACCTAAAATAGAGGATTTACAATAAAATTAGATTACTTGATAAACGCTGGTGGCATATCCCTTTTCAAGATCTGGTCTTCTGTTGTCTGCACAGTCTCTTTTCCAACCTGCAGAAAAAAGAAGTCATACTTAAGATTCAGAATTTCACTGTAAAGCTTAGATGAAAACAAATAGACACAAAAAATTTTATTTGTACTAATGGTAATTCCTTTTGCTAGGGCTGCTGTTGCTGTGTCTATTTTTGAGACCACTATATACTGTGGCTTGTCTAACGCTTTAGCAATCATACATTGTTTCCTGCCAACATCCCTACTAAATTAACTTTGGGGGCGATACTTTTCCCACTCTCCATAGAAACAATACTATTTGTTTGCTGCATTTAGTTGTAAAAACTTAATCACTGAACTCCGTAGGCTGCCCTCCCTCCTAATCCCCACAAGTCAGAAATCAAGTTCAAAGTTAAAAAAAAAAAAAAATAAAATTACCCCATTTTGCTATTCAACATAGTCTATTAGAAAAGTGTAGTTAATTACTCAGAATACACCGCACATCCACACCACCCTTTAGGCAAAAATAATTATGCAGAAGCTAATAAACAGAGTAAGATCTGGAGTTTTCTGTACACTAGCTCTTGTGTTATACAGTAGAAGTCTTTATAATTGGTAGCTGGCTCTCTGAACTGTGAGATCACCAACTTGACAAAATATTTCCAGCTCCTTTGTTCACTGTATTTTCCAGCTGAATAAGCTATTCAGAAAGGCATCACAAAGCAGAAGGTCTTTAACCCAGACACTAGTTTGTGTTAAGAGCTGCCAGGCCTGCTCAAGCTAGACAAGATAGCCCTGAAAATCCCTGATCAGCTGCTGTTTAAAGATTTGCTGGTTTCTGACAGAAGTTGTAGTGTGCCAGTATGCTCAGCACTTACCAATTCTAATGCTGTACAGCCTTCCAGAAGTACCATTTCCTTGCAAATTTATGCTGCTTGCCAAAAACTATGTCTCCCTAGTCTGGTCCTTTTCAAGAGGACTTTAGGAAAGTATGTTGGCCCTGGTACTTTATTTGGTTCAAACACACAGTCAGCCTAGACGTCAATTTTTTTTTTTTAATATATTTTATTTTTTAAATCTATTAATACTAGACTCACAAGTAGTCACCTAGCTATGTATAAGTAATGAAAGGAAGAGCAGACAGGAGGTTAAAGATCTGCAATTTTATGATAGGCTTCTGTTTCTTATGTTCAGTGTAGGCTCACTAATAGCCATGCCCCCTCCTAAAACAGAACACTGCAGCATTGCTTTGACTCCTAAACTTCATGGCAATGCCTCAGGAGCACACTTACAAACGTAGCTCATGCTGTTTCTTGGGACAGGGTTGCATGACACACCAGAGATTTTGCCTGCTCTAATTACTTCCATTGAATTAATGAAACATACTCTTTGTATTTCTCACATGTTTGTATGCACACATGCATGATCAAGATGACACAGAAAAGGAGTAATTAGCATAAGCTCTGAATTAAACATCAGAGAATGCTGTCTCCAGATGAAAATGAAGAATACTATTTTATTTCCAAAGAACCATGCTTTCAAGATTTATTTCTCTTGCAGCCATATCAATCTGCATATAGTTCAATATATTTAAAAAATATGTATTTCTGATAATACACAGTTTTTAAAGAATGCATGAAAAAAGTTTACAACAGGATGAACTTCAATTTGAAGGTCATTCTAACAATCATTATTGGTATTTTACATTGAACAGCCAGTCAGAAGCAACCAAGAAACAACTTCTGCTCAAGTTACAATACATCAAGCATCAAGTTATTTCTTGTTTTATTAGAGCATACAAAAAGCATTTCTTCATTCAGTCTGGAAAGCATAAGTCCCTCCTATAAGACGATATATCTAGGTTCACTACTCCAAGAAGCATTATCAACTAATTCTAGACATATACATACACACACATTATATGTACTTCATACATTTATACATACACAGACATATATATAGAATCATAGAATGGTTAGGGGTGGAAGGGACCTTAAAGATCATCTAGTTCCAACCCCCCTGCCATCAGCAGGGACACCCCCAACTAGATCAGGTTGCTCAAAGCCTCATCCAACCTGGCCTTGAACACTTTCAGCGAGGGGGCATCCACTGCTTCCTTGGGCAACCTGTTTCAGTGTCTGGCCACCCTCACAGGAAAGAATTTCTTCTTAATGTCTGACCTAAATCTAGCCTCTTCCAGTTTAAAGCCATTGCCCCTTGTTCTATCACTACCTGCCCTTGTAAAAAGTCCCTCTCCAGCTTTCTTGTAGGCCCCTTCAGGTATTGGAAGGCTGCTATAAGATCTCCCCAGAGCCTTCTCTTTTCCAGGCTGAACAGCCCCAACTCTCTCAGCCTGTCCTCGTAGAAGAGGTGCTCCAGCCCTCGGATCATCCTTATGGCCCTCCTCTGGATTTGTTCTAACTGGTCCATGTCTTTCTTTGCTATGGCTAGCCAGGATTTTTAGTCTTCAAATGAAAGTAACATATGGGATGAGTCAATTCCCATTTTCATTTTTTATGGGGAGTTTTAACCTCAAAACTGTCCCAAAGTGCAGAGATATTTCTCTTCCAAGTCCATCACAAAGCAGAAATACTCATTCCTCCAATAGCCTCAGCACCATATAGCACACAGGAGAAGATTTCAGGCAGTTCCCATGAGGCCCCAATTAAAAAGGTTCTCTACTTTTCTAGAGGAAAAGACATTTTACTGTATTTTAAGCATCTACACAGCACACACACTGAATCTGTTTAAATATAAAAACTTGTGTCTCAAAGGAAAGCATTTCATATTACAGCTATTAACCTTTGCAGAAGTTGCTCTTTGCCATTTGTAGCCAAACTATAGAGATGGCATACAAAGAACAAACAGTCCGCATACCCTTTAACAGGCAAAGCCTCAAAACATGAAACCACACTCATGACTAAAAAGACACAATCCCAAGAGAGTTTTGTGGGTTTTCTTTTTTAGCTTTGTGGTCAGGGGGATTTTTTGTTTTGTTTTGTTTCTTACTTCGTGTTTTAGTAAGATCCGGTTTTCTTCAGACATGCTGCAGTGTAATACAAGGCAGAGATTCACTCAACTCTACCTTCTCAATACTCCAATACCAATGGAATGAAGATGGGGTTTTTTGCCTGAAAAAGTAATATCTACACATTTCCTATTTCAGACAGAAGGCTTGTCAAGCTTCATGCTAATATAGAACAGTTATCTGTCAAACTTCTATTTTATTTCTATTCAACAGCATACATGCAGAAAGAACAGGATTACTAACTTGGC